CAGAAAGATATTTCTGAACCAATAGGCTGTTTCCAGAGTGCTGCATCAAGGCACCTCAGTGGGAAGGAAAAAGTGTGGCAGAAAAAGCGAGAAGAGGTGACCAGACCCTGAGGAAGATTGTAGAGAAGAGCTGATTCCAGACCTTGGGGGACCTGCGGAAGCAGTGGACTGAGTCTGGAGTAGAAACATCCAGAGCCACCGTGTACAGGAGTGTGCAGGAAATGGGATACAGGTGCCGCATTCCCCAGATCAAGCCACTTTTGAAGCAGAAACAGCGGCAGAGGCTCCTGACCTGGGCTACAGAGAAGCAGCTCTGGACTGTTGATCAGTTTTGCACGTCATTTGGAAATCAAGCTGCCAGAGTCTGGAGGAAGACTGGGGAGAAGGAAATGCCAAAATGCCAGAAGTCCAGTATCGGGTACCCAGAGTCAGTGATGGTCTGGGGCGCCATGTCAGCTGCTGGGGTTGGTCCGCTGTATTTTATCAAGGGCTGTTCAATGCAGCTATCAGGAGATTTTGTTGCACTTCATGCTTCCATCTGCTGAAAAGCTTTATGGAGATGAAGATTTCATTTTTCAGCACCACCTGGCACCTGCTCACAATACCAAAACCACTGGTAAAAGATTTACTGACCATGGTATCACTGTGCTCAATTGGCCTACCAACTCTCCTGACCTGAAGCCCAGAGAGAATCTGTGGGATATTATGAAGAGAAAGTTGAGAGAAGCAAGACCGAACACTGTGGATGAGCTAAAGGCTAAACGCTATGGAAGCATCCTGGGCCTCCATAACACCTCAGCAGAGACACAGGCTGATTGCCTCCATGCCACGCCGCATTGAAGCTGCCATTTCTGCAAAGGGATTCCGCACCATGTATTGAGTTTATAACTGTACATAATTATTTGAAGGTTTACTTTTTTTTGTATTAAGAACACTTTTCTTTTATTGGTCGGATGAATTATGCTAATTTTGTGAGATAGGAATTTGGGTTTTCATGAGCTGTACGCCAAAATCATCCGTATTAAGACAATAAAAGACCTGAAATATTTCAGTTATTGCACAATGAATCTAAAATATATTTGAATGTTCAAGTTTTATCATTGCATTATGGAAAATAATGAACTTTATTATAATATGCTAATATTTTGAGAAGGACCTGTATTTTTCCAGATGTTTATGTTACTTTAAACTTTAATCCAGCTTATTGATTACTTTCCTGAAGGTTATTGGTTACTTTCCTATGACGTAGAAAGTTCTTCACAAATCTCCAATCCACTGGTTACTTTCCTGAAACCTGCAGCTTTCCGTGCAATTATTTAAAAACTACTGTAATATAAGGTGACTTGTATCATTGTGCAACCCAGAACCTACGGGTCAGAACTTCTGGAAGGCTTCAATAGATTTTTAGACTACTTAACAAATTAAATGTTACTTTCCAGAATTTTCTTAGCAAAGGAAATGAACCAGAAAGTTCCAGAACCCAGAAAGTGCAGCAAAGTGTGCCGGACTGTTTCTGGGTCATAAAATGTGTCCTGAAGGATCCAAATGTCAGATCCTGAATTCTTCAGCTCTCCTCTCATCCCAGCATTTAGTTTAATTGTCTAATGAATCACCGCCTGCTGAGAGCGAAACAGAACAAACTTCAGAGTTTATTCACCAAAAAGCTCTGAATCCCTAATGTAAGCAGGGCCCAGCTGGGTCCACTTGGAGAGTTGTTATAATCCTCCTCTGACCTATAAACAGGAAAATACAGAATATAGAGCATCATGGTCCCATCTCCAAATATGACGCTGACTGTTGTCCTTGTAAGGGAATCCAGCTTGAGACATCTGAACTTTGGGATCGGATTCAGTTACATTAAATGTGACCTTTTCCACCATTTATTTTTCCTTTTCCGTTTGTCTGTAACTTGGAATCTGTGAAGGAAATCCAAACAAACATTCAAACATCACAGCAGAGTTTTTCTCTGATGATTTCTGGATGTTTGGACCTTCAGCATAAAACAGCCTGACTTCAGAACTGTTCTGATTTAGTTTGGGTCAGATTTGATGGCGATGCTCATAAACAGGTGATGAGACCTGTTGGTTTTATCCCCCCCCCTCCTCCTCGCGGGGCGCAGCGCGGGACCTGCGGCTTTCAAACAGCACATTAGCGCGTTTCTGGAAATGCTGCCCGGAAATTTGTCCAAATAAACACAGCTTGATTCGGCCTGGGTGGGCAGACTTATCAAGCACTAATTCTGTAAACAGATGAGAGAATAAGCGGGCCCCTCATTGGCTGGGGCCCCGGGGGAAGGGGGGGTGAATGGATGTGGGTGGGCTGGTTCTGATGGACACTTTATTTCCCAGTTCAGAGTCAAAACATCGCAACCAACCAGCGGCTCCGGACAGTTTTCTGGGGCCCCATGAGTCTGAGGAAGGAGAGGCTCCGCTGTGTCAGGGACCCCCGCTGCTTTCCCTCCCCAGCCTCATGGCTCTGTTCCCCGGCCGCGTGCCGCCGGCTCTGAGCCTCTCCGGACCCCCGCTGATCTACCTGTACGGAGGGGACAGCGCGCTGAGCCTGGTGCCGGGCCCCCAGGAGCCCCCTCAGAAGCCCCCCTACAGCTACATCGCGCTCATCGCCATGGCGATCAGGAGCGCGCCCGGGCAGCGCGCCACCCTCAGCGGGATCTACCAGTTCATCATGGAGCGGTTCCCCTTCTACCAGGACAACAAGCAGGGCTGGCAGAACTCCATCCGCCACAACCTGTCCCTGAACGACTGCTTCATCAAGCTGCCCCGGGAGAAGGGCCGGCCCGGCAAGGGCAGCTACTGGACCCTGGACTCCAGCTGCCTGGACATGTTCGAGAACGGCAACTACCGCCGCAGGAAGCGGAGGGCCAGGGGCCAGCAGGACGCCAAAGAGCAGGGGCCGAGGCGCGCCAAGGGCCCGGCGCCATCCAAGGACGCGAAGCGCACAGAGCCGGAACCAGAACCGGTTCTCTTCAAGTTCAGCCAGCAGGTTCATCCCACACAGAGGCAGCAGGTTTCCCCGAGCAGAGACCCCCCCGATGGCCCCCACCGGGCCGAGCCCTCCCAGCAGGCCCCCAGAGGAGGCCCGCAGAGGACGGAGCGGTCCAAAGGCTTCACCATAGACAGCATCTTATCCAAAGACCCGGAGCAGGCGCGCCACCGCGCCCCGGATGTTTCAGCGGAGGGTCTGTGGGCGTCCCCGCTCCTGGGCGCGCGCCCCCATCCGCTGGTCCAGGTGGGGTTCCCGCTCTGCTCCTACCTGTCCCTCACGTGCTCGGACCCAGCGGTGCGCTTTAAATGAAGGGATCATCATCATCATCATCATCATTGCCATCATCTATATTGTTCAGACAGGACAGCAAACCAACAGGATGGAGTTTTAATTCATCTGAACCTGTTACTGTTTAATGTTTGACTTTTTGCTTCCTTTGTTGACGCAGCAAAAAAAAAAAAAAAAAAAAAGTTAATTGTAAATATTTGTAAGTTATGGTGACAGGGCATGGCTTTGCCAAACAAGGTGAGGATAAATCCTACTGTAACCAAATCATATAGAGTGGTTCGCTCTGCCTTTGAATAAAGTTCAGGTAGAAATCATGTGGGGCTGATATCCTCTTTTATTTTATATGATTTATGAAGGCAGGATCCAACCCTGAATGTCTTTACTGCTTGTTTGCAGCAAACTGCAGGAATCTCAGAGAAGTTCTGCAGACTCAGGTGTTCATGAAGCATCAGAGACTGAAGATGCTGCAGAGAAGCTACAGCAGAGGCAACTAGAGACACATCAGGAAGCAGAAATAAATCCTGCATTTGAAAGTAGATCCACTCCCTCTACTTCAAAATTACAGCATTTTACTAAATACCTGTAAAACAATTTTTTACTTTCAGCTTTGATTTTATGAGAAACCTAAAAACATTCCCTTCTTTTAAATGGTTATTTAAATAACCAACCAAACTGAAAGTGTCTCTATTTTCTGTTTCTCTATGTTTTGTAATTGACATGCAGCCAGAGGTCGGCGCCGGCCCACCTGGACCGGGTCGGGCTGCACTCACCCTTTTATTTTGTCCATTTTTCTTTCATAATCAACCGGAGAAAAAAATCACTTATTCAAACTGTTTACTTTTAATATTAAAGCTTAAAACTATCCTGAGCTCAGAGTTTTCTTTAGTTTCCTGGTTGATATTTAGGAGAATTAAAATAATTTCACAGGGGAAAAAAGCTGTTATTCTTTTTAAATGCATTCAGTTAAAAAATCATTTATTGATCCCAAAAGGAAATGAAATGTTTTCACTCTAACAGGAATAAATGTTGATGCTGTAGCAGGAAGCATCTCCTGTAGAGGTCTGTCTGCAGTGGAGAAGCCTCTGACTGAAGACGCTCTGTTGATGTTTAACAGTCTGATGAAGAGGATGCTCACTGTTTTCTAATTTATCATTCACTCACTCTCAGATTCTCTGCTTGTTCACTGCGGTTTAGTGTGAAAATAAACTAGATTTGACCTGATATAGACATTTTCTAAAGCCACCATAGAGAGAGGTCTGTTTTTAGTTCATAGTAACTCATCTTAACTAAAATAAATTAAAGGTATAGTTGAGGATGTTCTTTTCCAGGTGGATCATCAAAATAAGTGGTCCTCCTAACTGTCAATCATTCTGGTGATATGTTTACATAAGGCCGTCCTACATGCTCGTCCCCATTTATACTTACCGGTGGTGAGTCTGACATAAAAGCTTGAATGAGCGATGCAAACAGCAACTTCTAAACAGAGCGTACACGAGGAGAAATGGGCTTGTGCGTGCACTCACACGCATTTAATAGACATTCCCTCTCGGGAGCGGGTACAGAGTTGTTGGTTTGCTTTTTTAAAGTGGAGAGGGAGGGTCTTTAAAAAAAAATCATAAAAATCCTACGGAATACCTTTGAGCAAATAAAACAGTTTTTAAAGCTACAGTGTGTAATAATTACAGGGATATACAGTCAGAAATGTAATATATTATACATAACTATGTTATTTATCATCATCTACGAGCTCAGCC